TTCAACGAGCACTTCACGACAATAAGCACATAATGAAATAAATCATATACGAGTTAAACGAGACGGAAAAACGACGAGGTACCGTTTTCGGGAAAAACTCGAAAATCGAAACGAACACGAACGGGGCTCGACGGATTCTCGCGTCTCGCCGGAAGGAGGAGGTGCTGCAGCGGCTGAGAAGGGAAGGGTCGCTGCTGCTGCTAGGTCGCCGGACGTCGCTGCAAGGTCGCCGGAGAAAGGATCTGCTCGTGAAGGTGCTGCTCGTCGGGGCTGAACGGAGAGGTCGCCGGAAGAATCAAACAGAGGGGCCGCCGGATGGCCTGGTTCGTGGAGGAGGACAGCCGATGGTCGCCGGAAGCTGGTCGCGCGAGTTGCTGTGCACCAGAGGTGGGCGGCGACGGGAGGTTGACAATGGTGGCGATGAAGGTGATCAGGTGGTGATGGCGAGGAGGGTGAAGGAGTTCACGATGCGAAAGAGGTGATGGGATCACGATGATGAGATGCGATCAGAATGGGACGTTTTTGAGAAGAGAACGAACAAGAAGAATATATACACATGATGACATTAGGTTTAACAAAAGAAAAATGTCTTGATGCCCTAGACATCAAACACTCACGTGAAAAACCAAGGGAACAAGGAAAAAAAAAAATATAAGTTGGGCCGGTTTTGGCTTGGGCCAAATGGGTTTTGGGACATCGGGCCAATTTGTGACATTAAGTTGGCTCACGGGCCGGTTTGCAAAATTAAATCGGCTCACGGGCTCGATTTCGGTTCAAAAGAAATATTCTCGGGCTCAATTTCAAATTCAACGCGCGATGAAAAAAAATATAAACCGAACTATATATATTTTACAAACATATATATATATATACACATTACTCACATTTGATAACTTAATAAAATCACGAAAATCAATTAAACAATTAGACATTTAACATTTAATCACATTTTGGCAATAAATAATATTATGACATTCAAGACAAATAAATATAAATATTATCACAAAAATAATAATAACAATAAAAATAATAATAATATTCTCAAATAATCCACAAATAAACGGGGCACTTCCTAGGTATATGAATGTTGATAACAGTACCAAGGATTTTACCAATCTTTACTCCAAGTTGCAGGGGTAAATTGTGGATTTGCACCCACATCTTTATCTTTTCTTCCTCTTCATGAAACTTCGTGTTTCCGGGGCTCCAGTTTTTGAGCAGCAAGTACTGCCCATCAAAGTTCCATGTTTTTCCATTGAGGATCTTGAGTTTATCTTCCTCATTTTGGAAAATAAATTGGAAGAGATTATGCCCAAGGCTCCTAATTGTGAAGCTTTGTTGCGTTTGCCAAATACTTGAAAATGTCATTTTCAACCCACTGAGCTTAGCCTTTTTTTCCCCATGAATCTTGCCGATTAAACTGTTCTGACAATTCAACACACCTGATGCCACATCTTCCTCTAAAAAGCTGATACCCGCTTCCTCTTTCTCAGACAAGAGGAATTTTTGTAATTTCTCCGTAATCTCTTGCTCCATCGGACCGTAAGATCTCACAACCCCGCTGTTATAGACCAATTAAGCCCCTTAGGATCGATGATATCTGCAGATCTGAAATGAAAAGACGAAAGCATGAAATAGAAATAAACACTGAACACCCTAAATGTCCCAACCGCACACATAACCTACTATAAGGGAAACAAACGAAAGAACTTAAGCAAAAGATCTGAAGAAATAAAGCAAGAAAGAAAAAACCAAGTCCAAAAAAGGAACTGGATCTCCTAAAGAGAAAAAACCCTAGCTACAGGGACTCAAATAGTGTGCTCTTAATAGTGTTAATTTAAGTGTGTAGTTTTGTGACGATGGGATTACAAAATGGCGAGTCATTATGTGGAGCTGGTTCAGCTTACCCTTTAAAGATTTTGATACAGGGAGTTACGGTTGTGAATGCGCAGTTGGACCAATTTGGGGGTGGGGGCCTTTTTTTGAAAATTAGATAAGTCCTGAGGACTTACCTGTAATACCAATAATTTTCATTAAATTGCATATTAGGTCATGGGTCAATTTGTAATTTATTAAAAATTTAATAATTGTATGATAATGATGATTACAATGCACATTAAAATTAAACAAACTACACTTTAATGTTAAATAAATTACACATTATATGTGCACATTAAAAAAATGTCAACATTATAAATGCATAATAGTTTTAGATAATATGCATATTGACGATGCACAATAAAAAAACTTACATAACTAAAATATTATATTCGAATTTTTATATGTTAGTTGGATTATATGTTTTAACTTTTAAAATTTCAATCATATTAATTCGATATCGACTTTGTTTTTTAAAAAAATAATTGAACTAGCGAACTAAATAAAATTTATTATATACATATATATTGTGTCTTTTTCAACCAAGAAAAACATATGTTATCAAAATTAAAATATTAAAGTACTAAATACATTTTAGGATATAAATAATAAATTATTTTGATTATTTAGATTAATTTGTTTGACCTATCGAAAAAATCAATTATTTCGGTTTGCGACAAATCATTAAAATGCATGCGTTGAGAATGCACAACAGTGTTAGATGAATTGCACATTAATAAACTGTTAGACTGCACAATAGTGAATGAAATTGCTGTACTAAAACATTCGGTTCAAAATTTTATATTTCGGGTAGATTATATATCTTTACTTTTAAAAATTCAGTTATTTTGGTTCGATGTGTTTTTCAAAATAACCAAACCGACCAAACTATAAAAAAATATTACTATTTATGTATATATACATATATTTTTTATGTAAAAAATGTTATTTATTTTTTGCCAGTAAAAATATAATATAGTAATAAAATATTAAAATACTAACTATGTTATTATAATAAAATAATAACTTATTTCGATCATTTTGGTTATTTTGGTTTACGAACTGAAACAATGAGCCATTTCGGTGCGCTTTTAGTTTTGATTTGGGGAAAAATCCAATCGATTCGTTTTACAAAAAAGGTAGACTCAAATATTTTAATTTTGACATTTCGGTCGATTGTTTCAAACAAACCAACTTATGAACAACACTAACCGAGGTGGCATTTCAGGTAAATTTATGAACCTTTAATTGTGTACTCTAATTGTAGTAATTGGTCGAAGTTATGTCATTTTGTAAAAAAATGAAGGGATTTTTATTGTGCATTTTCTTACAATATTGTGCATTTTATACATATTAATGTGCATGTGTTGGACTTTGAAAAAATTATAAAATTGCCACAAATACCAAAGGGAAACCTCTCAATATCAAATAGCAAACAATGAAAAAAAGTTGCATTATAGATCGTTATCAACAAAACCAAATCGCAAACGATAAGAAAACCTGATTTTATTAGCTCTAAGCCTCTAACCATTAATTGCTAACTAGGCATAAAACTAAAATGAAAAAATTAGATCCAACAAAAATTGGACAAAACATCAAACCTTCATTCAATTTCAAGTCAGATCTAGCAAAACTAGATAGAAGGCTTGGGAAAAATTGAAACTCTAAGCTCTCACAACAGATACGATCAATTGCCACCTACATATAGAACTAAAATCAAGGAGATGAAGTAGAACTAGAATAAAGGAGATCAATCATGCGAAAAAAAAAAAATATTTGTACCAAATAAGATCTAAATGTCTTAATACTAAAAGTTATGTAATTGCATAAAGGTCCATAGGAGTTATCTAATTTTTGAAAATAAGTCCCTGGTCCTAAAATCTTCATCCTCTCGTCACTGTAACTGGCCGTTCAGTACCGACTTATTTCCGTCGACCTGACTGCTATCGCTGTGAAGTACATGATGGCAGTCGCCCGCCGGCTCTCCACCACCTGATGCTCCGGCGAGAATGGAGACATACTGGCATCGGCTAGGCGGAGCTCGTTCTCTGTCTATTCTCGGCGGAGATACTCCAGCGGCCATCTCGTCGGCGTCCGAAGCGGCGGCTCATGGCGTATGGCGCTGGCCGGAAGCAGCGGCATATACCTTGGACATATTCTTCGATTGATTCTCAGCCAGAGATTTAGAAACTCCACCTTGGCCGGTGAGTCTCCGACGAGATGGAGGGACGAGAAATATTGAATACAGCGGCGGGAAGCTAGTGTCGGTGGGCAGAGGGGCGGCGGACGGCTGTCGGTGCAAGGTGTGTGTGCGTCTGTGCATGAGTGAATTTGGGGGTGTGGGTGAGGGAGAGAGAAAGTGAAATTACCTGTGGAGAGAAAGTGAAATTACGTTAGAGTGTTGTGGTGGGACCCAACATGTATGAGTTGGCATTGTTTATGATGACCAAATTACCTTCATGAATGGTCCAAAATATATATTTGACCTAGTTTTTATCATAAATTACTATCATGCCACCACCTGTTGACCATTGTTTATTAAAATTTGACTTCATCATGACCATTAATATGTTAGATCCAATGATGTAGATTTATTCTTATTTCTTTCACTATCTACCATTTCTCATTGGATCCTAACTATATTTATATATATATATATATATGTGTGTGTGTGTGTGTGTAATTTTTTTAAAAAAGTGAGGGGGGACCACGGCCCTCCCTAGGCCTCATCTGGCTCTGTCAATGGAGTTATATGAAGTAATTTCAACCTACCTTGAGTAATGCTAGCAAATGTATGTTTGTGTATTCTTCGAGTTTTGCAAATATATGTACAATGTTTCACATTTTGACCAACATTTTTTTATGGCCGAGCAAAAAACAATCAGTGTTTCATAGTTATAGACTAAACTTAGGCCGGCTGTGCGTGCACAAGAGACCACTAGTATGTGTATATATAGAAATAGATTGATCTTCATTTAAAGAAGAAAAAAAAACTTATAAATAAAAACATTGCAACCCTAGCATTAAAATTGTGCCCTCAAGCAAAAGCGAAGAAAAGTCACCAGCCGCACACCCATTTTTCCAAATATACTCACCTCAATCGTCTCTTCCATCATCAACCCATGTCGTCGGAGAAGCCATCCCAGAAGCGCAAGCGTCAGGAGGCGACCGCAGCCTCCGCCGCCGCCGTGACCATCGAAGCCAACCCATTGGCGGCAAACTATGGCGAGATCCCGTTGAACGACCTCCAGTCGAAGGAAATCTCTTGGAAGAAGTGGACGGAGGTGAAGGACCTGACCGCCGGGCTGAAGGACCAGGAGGTGCTGCACAGAGATAGTATCATTGATGCTGAAGAGATTGTCTCCGTGCTGGCACAGCCCATCACTGGTACGACTCGACAGGTTTTAGCATTTTAGCGTGCTTTTGTGTTTGTTTTTCATGCTTGTGTTGAAAATTGTTGAGAGGACATGAAGTACTTTGAATGTCTTGTTCTTGCAGAACTCTAAGTCACCACTTGATCTGTAGAGAAGCTTCTTGATGCTTTAAAGCATTTGTTGATATTAAGGGAACTAAAATAGGCCATAGTTACTAGATAACATGTCAAATTACCTGGTGACAGGTCCTTCATCGCAGTATTGGAAGTGTTTCTGGTTTATTGTGTGTGGCTTATCTGTTTTATGTGATTGTGGGGCTATTTATTAAAGGGGATGGTCAACACCCCAATTTATTTAAATGACCCTTTGAAAAAAGAATTTGTTTAAGTAACCCTTCCATTAAATAAAGGTAAATAAATAATTGAAATACCAAAAAATAACCTTAGATATTAATGACTACACTACCCTTCTTGTATTTTGTGTTACCAACTTTGTAATAAGAAAAAAAAAATTCATTCCAAAAAGATTTTTTTGCTCGTCGTCTCCCTCCCTATGATCGTCTCTCTCGCCCCGACGCCGAGTTCTCCTCTCTTGAAAAGGTAAGAACAAAATCTAATAATTAGACATAAACTTTGGAAACCATATTGCAAAAGAAATATGGTGATTGGGAAGAAGAACCATAAAAAGTTATCACCTTTATTTTAGAGATAAAGCATGGGTAGGGTTTGTTGTTATTTTACTTTGATAAGCATTTTGGTTCATATTTTATGATTGATGAACATGTTGGTTTTATATTTATCATGTTTTTGTGCTATTCATGTTAATTTTTTCATTTTTTAGATGATGTTTTATCATGTTAATTTACTTTGATAAGCAATTTGCATAACGATTGTACATTCGTTATCTTAGTAATATCACACAACGAATGTAGATTCGTTATCTGGTTATTTCATAACCAATGTTGATTCGTTATTTGATGATTCTTTCATAACGAATGTAGTTTCGTTATGACATATCCCAATGTTTTTAGTTATGACATATCCTAATATAGTTTCGTTATGATATAACGAATGTAATTTTATTTTGACATATACTAATGTAGTTTTGTTAAAACATAACGAATGTAGTTTCGGTATGACATATCCCAATGTAGTTTTCTTATGACATAACAAATGTAGTTTCGTTATGACAAGTAGTTTTGTTATGACCTAACGAATTTAGTTTCGTTATGACATATCCCAATGTAGATTTGTTATGACATCCCAATGTAGATTCGTTATGACATATCTCAATGTAGTTTCGGTATTTTACTTTGATAAGCATGTTGGTTTCAAATTTCCATGTTTATTTTTTATTTTTTGAGATGATGTTACATTTTATTTTGCATAACAAATGTACATTCATTATTTGATGATTTTCTCAAAACGAATGTAGATTCGTTAGATAATTATTTCATAACGAATGTACTTTCGTTATGACTAAAATAGTTGGTTATATAAAAATTGTAAGGAGTAAGCATAAGAGCATTGTATATTATCTTCTATTTTAGTAACATGTGTTTCTAATTGTCGAAATAACATATATTTTTTTCTTGTAGATATTGATTTTAGCAAAGATGATGTGGATACAAGTATGTTACTATATTGAGTTTAAAAAGAATACCGATGACACTCGGACATAGAGATATGTGAATGAAAATGAAGAGAATGTCAATCCTATTTATGTTCGCGACGACATATCTTTCTTGGAGCTTGAAGAAGCAGTCCTGAAGTTCATAAAGTTCGATAGCATCTCACACGTAATAGAATTGCGATCACTGACCCAAAGAATGACCAAATTACTAGTCCCCCCTGTGAAGATAGATTGTGATGATAAAGTGAAATGGTTTATATCTGTTTGTGACGAACATCCTCTTTGCGTAACACTTGTCGAAAAACTTGTTGAGGAAGAAACGAACAATCACAACTTAGATTTGATTGAACCACTTACATGGGATAATGAAATTCCCGAGCCGCTCGAAGGTCAATGGGACAGTATGATGGTGGAGAATAGAGATAGTTTGATTGAAAAAAATCTTGAAGTTGAAGAAGAAACGAACAATCACAATTCAGACGTGATTGAAACACTTACATGGGATAATGAAATTAACGAGCTGCTCGAAGGTCAATGAGACAGTATGGTGGAGAATAGAGATAGTCCTATCGAAAAAATCTTGAAGTTGAAGATGAAAGAAGAACCACTTTGATGATAGAAGATGCGCGTGAGAATTTTTCAACAAAATATGCTATGGTAGGGAATGCAAGCTCTTCTATGAGTCCGCTCCATTGTCCATCTTTCGTGAGAATCCCGGAGAGTGAAGATTTGCAATGTAACAATCTCTTCTCAACCAAAAAAGACTGAGTAGATTTGTTGTTGGCTGTGAAGTACCACTTTGAATTCAGAGTGGTAAAATCAACGAAGACCTTGTATGTTGTTGCTTGTATTAAGAGAAATTGTCCTTAGCGTTTGAGAGCGGTGAAGATAGAAAGTGGCGAAATTTTTGTAGTACGTAAGTATGTTGGTAAACACACTTGCTCTATAAGTGTGCGTCGTAAAGATCACAGTCATGCGACGTATAAGCTGATTGGGAAGCATATTTCCGAAAAGTATAAAGACGTCAATCGGATTTATAAACCGAAGGATATTATTTTTGATGTCCAAGAGAAGTTCGAGATAACAATCAGCTACACAAACGCATTTATGGCAAAGCATCATGGATTTGGTCTCATTCGAGGTTGCCCAGAAGAAAGTTACGTAAAGTTCCCCAAATATTGTTACGTTTTGGAGCAAAAAAACCCTGGGACGGTCACTTTCATAGAGACAAGTGTGGATGGCCATTTTAAATATTTTTTCATGGCTTTGGGGACGTGCATTCATGGATTCCGCTCTTCCGTCAGAAGAGTAATATCTGTGGATGAGACATTCTTGACTAGGAGATATCGTGGTACGTTGCTCATTGCAACATGTCAGGATGCAAATCTTAAAATTTATCTGCTTGCTTGGGCAATAGTTGACTTTGAGAGCATTCTTTCATGGACTTTCTTCTTTGAAAAGTTGAAAGATATAACAGGCGATTCTCCATATCTTGTTATATTTTCTGATTGGGGAACAAGTATTCCTGGTGCCTTTGATACAATGTTTGAACATGCACACCATGGATATTGTAGCTATCACATGCTGAGAAACTTAAAATCTGAGTTTCCAGGGTTGGAATTGGATGCATTTCTTTGGGCAACAGCCGAAGCATACACGATACCTCATTTCGAATCCAACATGGCAACATTATGTAATAATAATCAGGAAATGCGGGCATACCTAGAGAAAGCTGATTTGCCCCGTTGGGCTATAGCACATTTTAGAGCAACTCGTTTCAACATAATGACAACAAACAATGCTGAATCGTTGAACTTTGTGTTGAAGCGTGGTCGAGAATTTCCTATCCTTGGTCTAATTGAACATATCAGGGCGACACTGCAAAAGTGGATCCACGAAAGAAATCTTGCTTCTACAAAATGCAGTAGCTTTCTTACCCCACCATTTGAGGAGAAGATGCGAAACAAATACGATGAGTCCAATGGACTAGAAGTGTTGCATGTAACACCGATGATTTTGCAAGTTGGTGAAAGACATGTAGTTGATCTCGAGCAAAGGTCATGCTCATGTCGAAAGTTTGAAATGGGTCATTTTCCATGTTCACATGCCATTGCCGCAATAAGATTTTTGAATGACAACGACCACAATTTATGCACTTTAATGTATTCGAGCTCTACTTGGAGAGAGGCATACTCTGAACCCATCCAATTTTTGCCCAATGAGACCGATTGGATGGTTCCAGAAGAAATTATGTCAAGAATTGTGTTGCCGCCACCATCACGACGTCTAAGGGGCAAACCTACATTCGAACGGAAAAAATCGGCAGGTGAGGCTCGAAGAAAATCAACTACTAAACCTCGCCAAATGCGTAAATGTAGTAGGTGTTCCAAAGTCAGCCATATCGTGGAAGGTGTCCAGAGATTAACCTCAATGAAGCCACTTGAAGTTATATTTTTATTAGTATATTGCTTTTGACTTATAGGGTTTAAATCTTTTTGTATAGTGTTTTGACTTGGCCATATAGTGTTTTACCTTTTTGTTTGTTATTTTTCATGTGTTCTCCAATTCATTAAAGTGAGTTGCTAAAGCTTGAAATTATATTTTGTCTTGTGTTTAATTTTTTATCTGTATCCAATGTAGTGATTATTGAAAATATTAAGGGTAATTGATTTACCTAATGTATTTATTGAACAATATTTATAGGAAATTTGGAAACAAACGACTATAGGCTCGTTTTATAGTATTATATAGTAGTATTACATTAAAAAAGGTTAAAAATATAAGTATAACGAATGTACAATCGTTATCAAATATAAAATAACAAAGGTACATTCATTATCAGCATCGCGGGCGCGACACTGAAGCTGCTTTCTGTTGGCCAGAGAGCTTCCCAGGTTGTCGCGGGCGTGACTCATATCGCGGGCGCGACATCCCCCTCGCCCTGTTACATCCGGACAGAAATCTCTCCAGGATGTCGCGGGCGCGACGCGGTTTTTCGGGCGCGACATGTGCGGTTGTCTGAGGCGCGACTTGTGATGTGGCCGCGACACCAAATATCGAGCTGCAGAAGCTCGCGACAGCATGTCCCGAGCGCGACACGCAGGCTTTCGTGAGAGTTTATGTGACACCCCGCCTTACTAGCTTTGAAAAATCAGAGTAAAATTTTCGCTTTTATTTTCGAAAGGTTGTGCGAGCTTGGTTTTCGAATATACTAACTTTGCAGGACGAAACAGATAAAACTTACTTAACTCGCTCACAAACATAAATAAAACATGCAACCAAACTATCCGCTACGGATATGGAATCACACATGCAATGTGTGAAATGTCTCGCACAGTCTAAGTTTAGCTAGCGGAAGCATCCGAAATATATAAAGTACATGCATACATATCTAAATAATATATGATCATAAAAATAAGAACATAAAATGTGTGTAAAAATATCCTCGACTATCATGACCATGCTTGCCACGTCTTGCTTACCCGGTACGCTGGACTCCGACACCTGAAATAAGAAAGA